CTCTTGTTCCTCCATCAACCAACGTGGACCCAGGGTTTATGGCCTCTAACAGTGTAGATGTTTATATTGCGGATGATGAGGAGCCTTATGGCACAGCAAGGGCCGTTGATTCTGATGATGACTGCCCAGTTACAGCTTTGAGCGAACAAAAAATGAAGCTCATTAGACGCTTGTGTCCTGATCGTGATCCACTGGTTCATGAATTCAACGACCTTAGTCATTCTCAACATGCTTATGGAGAAGGAAGAGATGATGAGCTGCTAGAGGCTCCTGAGGCCGATGACAGCGTGGAAATTCAGAAGGGCATGGTCTTCAAGGACTTGCCCACCTTAAGAAGGTGGCTACAGGAATATTCTGTGAGACGTAAGAGACCATTCAAGGTGAGGCACTCCTATGTGGAGCGCCGTTACACGGTGGTGTGCGAGATGGCAGATTGCAATTGGAGGGTCTGTGCTCGCAAACAGAAGGCCATAGGGAAATTCAATATCACCAAAATTGTAGGTCCACACACTTGTGCCCGGACAAATCTAAAACAGAAGCATAGACAGTTGACCTCTACCCTCATTGCCAAAAAGTTATACACAACTTTGAAGGGTCAGCCCAACTTGAAGGTCAGGACAATTATGGAGATGACTAAGGAGATATTTAAGTATGATATAAAGTATGGGAAAGCATGGAGGGCAAAGCAACGGGCCTGGAAGATGATATATGAGGACTGGGAGGAGGGGTACGAGCAGTTGCGTGCAATGTTCAATGCAATGAAAGCAGCAAATCCAGGCATGCATTACGTGTATATTCCGAAGCCGAATGAATGGAAGGACAGGAGGTAGATATTCTTTCGTGCATTCTGGTGCTTTCCCCAGTGCATCGAGGCCTTCAAGCACTGTCGTCCAGTGTTATCCATTGATGGTACTTTTTTGCTTGGCAAGTACATGGGCACACTTTTGGTAGCCATTTCGTGTGACACAGACAACACATTGATTCCTTTGGCTTTCGCTTTGGTGGAGAGGGAGAACAAAGATAGCTGGGGATGGTTCTTGCAGCTTGTTAGGATCCATGTCGTTGGCCCTCATAGGGAGGTAGGTGTCATATCTGATAGACACCAGGGCATACTCAGTGTCATACAGGAGCAGATTTCGGGGTATGCACCTTTGCACCACCGTTGGTGCACTCGACACCTTGCCAAGAATTTACTTCGGAAGGGTGGTACGAAGGACAACTTTCCTCTATTCGAGGAGGTTGCTCGCATGACTGAGGTGCCGTTCTTCGAGGAGAAGTTGGAGCAGCTAAAAATGGCAACAAACGCAGAAGGTAGGCAGTGGCTGAGAGGATTGATGAGAGAACCTAAGAAATGGACAAGAGCCTACGATGATGGTGGATGGAGGTACGAGTTTCAGACTAGCAACATGGTGGGGTCATTTAATAGTGTACTCAAGGGTATACGTGCCATGCCCATCAATGCCATTGTATCATTCATCTTTTATAGGCTAGTTGCATGGTTTAACGAGAGACACGCTCAAGCAATGGCACTACAGAGTAATAATAAAAAATGGGCACCTAAACCTAAGAAGCATCTTGACAAGGCAAAGGAAAGGGTTGCCACACATGACGTCAATTGCTTTGACCACAGCACCGGCAAGTACCAGGTCACAGAAAGGGGTGGTACAACGTCCGATGGTGAGGTCTGGCCATCAAGGAGTTATATTGTGGTACTTAGTAATTTCTCATGCGGATGTGGGAAAACCAGGCAGTATCACTTTCCTTGTTCTCATTATGTTGCAGCATCTTAGCATCGCAACTTTGCCTACGAGACCTAGATACTATGGGAGTTCAGTGTTGTCAGCCTTGTACAGACTTGGTCTCCCCGTTTTGAGCCTTTCCTAGACGAGGGTAAGTGGCCACCTTACACTGGGCCGAAATACATTGCGGATCCATGTACACGTTGCGACAAACGTGGAACCCGGAAGAGGACGAGGCATAAGATGGTCATGGACCAGGTTTTCGGTAGAACGAGGCGAGGGAGAGCAACCCCTTTCTTACTAACCCCGAGTAGAACCAATGTGGCAAATGTGGTAGGCTTGGGCATAATTCACGTACATGCCATTGGCCGCTTACTCAGGTGAAAATAACTAATGTTTCACATGCATGTTTACTAGTACCAAAAAATTATTTATTTGTTCATATAAAACTAATATGTACTTTCTCATTATATTTTGTAGGATGGAGCCGTTCCACCTGCTGGAGCCGTACTACGAGGAGAACCACCAAGGATGACTCACCACGGAGGGGGAGGTAACAACTTTACTTCTGCTTGTTATTTTTCCTCTGCATATGTACTTGTGTTCACGAATTAATCTAATAATTTCTATTCTTTGCAGGAACTGTACCCTCTTCGTCCTCGAACCCACGATAAGTTCGAGGACATGCGGTACGACGACAGGTACACTCCTCTCCTTGAGAGGGCTGGACTTGACGTTGTATCGTTCCAGGTTCGCCGTGGGTTGCCTGCCTTCAACCCCGCGGCGATCTCAGCTCTAGTCGACAGGTAGCATAAGTATAAACTAATTCACTTCCATTTATATTTTCGATTCTCGATGTTCATTAAACCATAGTACTTCTTTCTTGTTTTGTAGATGGGGGCCAGAGACTCACAGCTTTCACCTACCTTGCGGTGAGATGACAGTTACTCTTCAGGACATGCAGAAGTTCCTGGATGTCCGTATAAGTAGCCGCCCAGTTATCAGGCACTGCACTGTTGCTGGTTGGAGAGGTAGAGTTGAGCTCTTCCTTGGAAGAGAGCTTCCTACAAAGACACCGGGTACCCGCTCCTCTGGAGTACTCATTAGTTGGCTGAGACAGAACTTTGGTCAGTGTCCTGATCATGTAGACGAGCAGATAGTTATCTACTACTGCAGGGCATGGATCATGCACCTTTTTTGTTATGTTCTGTTCCCCGACGGGACGGGAGACACCACGTCATGGATGTACCTGCCCTGTCTTACTGACTGGCACACGGCGGGGGGCTACAGCTAGGGTTCCGCAGTGCTGGGGTACTTGTACCGGCAGCTTTGCGAGGCGTGCCGCCGGAGTTCGCCGAACTATTCATTAGGATGTGTTTACCTGCTTCAGCTTTGGATGTGGTCTCGTCTACCGGTCGGTCGGCCCAAAGTTCTTGATCCTCGTCCCTGGTTCGAGGTGCATGGCCTTCGACGTCGGCCGACGTATGCCTACCTTTGGGACCAGGTCAAGGGTCCCTTCGCCCAGAGTAAATGCGCCTACATCGAGTTCGCGAACGAGCTTGACACACTCACGCCAGGGCTGGTGAGTTAGCTGCATTTCATAGACTAATTTGTTTTTCCGATGTAAGCACTACTTGACTAAAGAATCAAATGCAGGTTAGTTGGGAGCCGTATGACGACGAACATTATGAGCACATTGGGTTCAGCATCATGTGCAAGATGGACGAAGACATGTACCTAATGCGGTGCCCGTTAATCTATTTCTACGCGGTTGAGTTCCACCTACCACACCGGGTTGCACGCCAATTTGGATTGAGGCAGGAGTGGCCCGTGGAGCCGTTCTCAACGTCAATGGACTTGTACAAGTAAGCGTCTTTGAGCTGTTGTATACTTTATTGGATATTACAACGTGCACACATACCAAGTTCTGAATACAGTAAATGAGGTCAATGTCTTTTGTGGCGGCAGCCATGGAGATATCAATTGCACTTTGGCTTGACAGTAGCTTGTCCCATGCCATTAGTGTAGGTAATAATAACCGTCCTCCTGCCTACTTGGATAAACATTTCCCGCCAAAAAAGTAAAATGCAGGGAAGCAGAGTCGCAGACAGAGCAACGCGAGTCATGGAGGAACCCGCACGGCATGGTGCATGCCGCGGACGCATCACCTCACCATTCACCACTGCCTTTCCACTAGCTCGCTACCTGCTACCCTGATGACCCATCAACCAATTCAGTAGGTTTTCATTACATGGTTGGCTTGGCTGCCGTGATGATGTACGAGTACGCTGCTCCAGCAGCTATAGACAGTAGTAGTCACATGCATGCAAAACGTATGTATAGTATATTTTAATTATTATATATAAATGGTCCTATCCTATTGATCATTGAGCTCATTCCTGTCTACTACCTCCGGGTTCCGGCTGAGCAGAGCAGGTAGCAGCACAGCCATTTCTGCATCCTGGCCTGCCATAACTAAACAACAGGCCAGCCGGTAGCGGTAGGTGTGTTATGTTTGTGCGGTGTCGTCAGTTGCGACGTCCAGTTATAGTGTCTTAAGATGTTTTTGTCTTTTTTCTGTACTTATGGATTTGAGGGTCACTTTCAAGTAGTTATAGTGTCTGCTCTCCAATTTTATTATGATATCCTGTTGAAGTCTATAAGTTTGCATTTTCATTTCTGTCAACCTACAGGATCGATCGTCGGAAACAAAAGAAGAAGACGGACTTTGAGACCTTACACCGTGACTACATCGACCACTTAGAAAACTTTCATGAGAACTTGTATGAGAATGACCAGTCCCCCACGAACGAGAACTTCAAAGCGTACCTATCTTGGTACAGACAGACAACAAGGACCAAGCTGAAGGTGCAATGGACCCAAACAAACTATGCCAACACTGAGTCCTCCGACGATGAACAAACGTCTTACGACCTTGCGATGAGGGCCGAGACACAGGTGAAGCCTGCACCGATCCTGGACCAAGTGGTAATGTCAACTATAACCCCATCATTTAAATACCATTGCAACTGGCATGCATAATGATGCACATACTAAGATTTATATGTTACATCCATCACTTTACATAAACAAGAAACATCAAATCCATATCACAAGTAAATTTATTTTGTATTTACACTAAGACGAACCAACTCATCCACATGACAGAGATGACCCCCCCGAACCCAGTTACCAGACCGAGACACTGATAGCCGTTGGCTAAAATGGCTTCCTGAGTATTGAAGTATCATAAATCAAGGGCTATAAATTCATCATTTTTGTAACCTGAATGCACATAATAGATGTATGGCAGAATCAAGCACATGTAGATCTGTTTGAGATCATGAGGAGCCATTGAACAATTTGAAAATAACATGTAGGTCCATTCAAATGCAAGCCACTATAGATATTGACGAGGAGGCTAATGGGCAGTTGAGTAAGAAACTGCCTATGCAAATGAAGCAAAAAATTTCAACTTACTATGAAAGCATAAACTATGCTGTGTGATTTTTTCTAATCCGTTGTAAAGATTGACAAAATTTCAACTTACGTTGTAGAGATTCCACAATAGAAATTTATTCTCTTGCCAAAGAATGAAAATCTGGGGTAGTGCAAAATATCTGAAAGTGGTAAACAAACAAAATTATTCGCTTGAGAACCAGAACAGCGGATCAGAAGAAAATGAGAACAAATACATGAAACAGGATTTAAGAGAGTAGTTATTACCAAATTTGAAACGAGAACTACAAAACGCCATGCAAAAGAAGAGTAAAATCATAGAGGGAACCAAGGAGACAGCTAACAAAAAAAATGAAGAAGAAAAAACTCTTACCTTCACTGATCTCCAATAGGAACTAGGCCAACGCACTGGGTCAGCATCACTCACTTCTGTTATTGTCCCCATGTACCTGCAATTATTTAATACCATATTTATGAGTTTCTTTCGTAATTCTTGGACATAAAATTGCAAGTCTCATGGACATATATTCTTTTGCCAAGAATCAGAAGGAAATTTTGGTACTGCTGCCTCACCTACGGACACTAGATTCCTCAGTCTCAAACAACATCCTGAATCGCATCCCAACTGATATCCGCGTGTGAAAAACAGCCTTGATGTATTTCGAAAGGGGTATAACAAATTCTGACGGACTTGCCCTGCAAGCACATTTTTCGAATCAAGCGGAACATAGGAAACATATAATTGTCATTTGCTAATCAAACAGTTCAAATTACCTAGGATTATAGAAAATTGTGAAGCGGCTGTTTGTTGCAGCAGCATGAACTGCTGCTGCAAGGAGCCCAATGTGCATGCTGTCACTTGAAAGAACAGAAGAGGGCATCACAGTCTGTGGACGGCTGGCTCGTCTGATTCCAAGCAAAAGCTGTTTTTTCTCATTCCTAAATTAGTGGGGAAAGGGTAAGTCCTACTCATCAGAAATTTTTTAGTGGTGCAGCATTGAAACAATGGAACAAACCATATGAATAGCACAGAATCTCCAGCAACAAGTCTCTTAGCACTGACAAACACACTCCAGCCAGTAGTCAGCAGGTGTCTTTTGGGCTGGCCTGTGAAAAGAAGCCTATGTAGTGAAAAGATAGCAACAATGATGTTAAATCATTCAATCTGTCAGCAACAACTGAAGAGCTGGCAGCCCCATTTCACAATCAGTATAGCAGATGGGTCTCATTCATGAATGCCACTTACGCTTGTAATCAAATTTTAGCATTTACTGGGATACTAAGTATGTTCTGGACTGATAAATCAACCGCAAACAAACGAAAATACTGTAGGTAATAGTCACACTAGGTAATATAATATCTTGAGAGTATGTTTTACTCAATCGAAAAGTAAAATGGCTAACAACTGATAACACATCAAATCAAGATTTTAAAGAAATAAAAAAGAAAAACAGAAGCTGAGAGAGTGACGTTTATGAATTTTGTCGAACTTGCCTCGGAAGATATACCTGAACTTCCACTCCGACATCATGAATATCCCGTGCAATAAGCTCCTGGAGGCTGCTGTGTGAAATCCTACCAACCACACTATACCACCGGTTATAACAGGTGGTATAGTGTCCACTTATTTTGCTTGTAGCTATGCTAGGTATTATGAGAAGGTACATCTACCTAGGATTTAAGCGCATTAATATTTGTTTTTTTTAGGACAACGCGCTGAAGCAATTTGTGATTGAGATCGAACGGTTTCAAGGACAGGCGTGGACGACTACACACTAAACAACTTTCTTAGAGTAAGTCGATACTAGCCCTCTTGTTGTTTTATACTTAAGTAAGTTGTTTGAGCTAGTGGTTTTCTACTTAATATCTCACTGCTCAAGCATAACATCTAGCATAATAGAGGTAGTATGATGATGATATGACATTCATTTGAATAATAACTTATCTGTATGCACTCAACAACTTACTAATTGCATCTTTGCATAATAGAGGCTAGCACATAGGCTACGGCGTGCTGCAGCTCGTTGTGATTGTGGTACTAGCGCTGCGATGGACGTACATGGGCCACACGCACGACAATGGGACACACCTGTAGGCCTCGGTACTTCTTCTCACGGAGGTACTAGCGCTGCGACTGTGGACACTTTCCAAAGCTACGGAGACGAGGACGACGAGGAAGACGACGAGGAGGCTGAGGAGCGTGGTTATGATGAGCTTGTCGAGTCTCAGCTCAATGACGCTCCTTCGACTGAGCCTACGCAAGTTGCAGGAATGAGACGACGTCGTTCGCCTTGCAAGGACACTCCAGACAAAGGCGCTCTTGGCCACAAGGATAAGGGTAAGACTAGGAGGCAGTGACGACGACTTGTAGGTTAAAACTATGCTACCAACTTAGATTAGACGCCACAACTATTTGGGCTGCATGGACTTTGCTTATTTTGCATGTGTGGAGATTTGGAAAGTATGTAGTTACTTTCCGGTAACTATTTGGGACTGTATGGACATTATGGACTATTTGGACTATGCAGGACATGTTATGTTGATTGTGATGTTCGATGTGGTTGTATTGTGCTCTTTAGACGATTAAATGTTTGAATTATATAATGATGTCTCTGTTTGTAACCGTGGATGCTCCTGAAACAAGGGAAATTTTTGCGAATTTTTTCCGTGAATCATTAATTATACTACACTGCTAAAAAAGCACAAATGTAGTACACAAATTAAATGTAAATTCATTACAACGTGTATAGTCCAATCATATCGTACAGACGCTTTGCAGATGAATCTAGGCTTTTCAGACAATGAAAATAGACTTTTCAGTTACAAGGACGAGGAGTACAATGACAGCAGCAATTTATCACTTCATTTACATAGTACACCTATAGCATCTAGGCTTTTCAGTAATTTATCATGTCAACGATCAATAGACTTTTAGGAAACGAATCTAGGCTTTTCAGTGTCCATTGAAATAGGCTCTTCAGTGAAACTAATTAGGCTTCTTGTGACAAACGTATAACACATTGAAACGGCAACTAAACATGCCTCTGCCTATATATACGCAATGTTGGATGCATTGCTACTTACTTCCCAACTAGTATATTCTTTTGTTGTAGTACCAATGTCAGGAGGGTCATCTAGAGGGAGAGGAAAGAGGAAGAGAACTACCATTGTGTGGGAGGGTTCTCTTGGTCCTGATTTCTTTGAGAAAGCTCTTTATGAGAGGTTCCCAGTTGAGAGTAAAACTAATTTCACCAAAGAGGTACCACTGAGAGGATACGATGAACGGAAAGAAGAGTGGCCAAAATGCATGCATGGTGAGGACTGCCTAGTGCAGATGTTCACCGAGGGAATAGATGGAGGTCGTCGTTTCTTCAAATGCCCACGAGCATGGGTAATTGCTATTACTATTTATTTTTTCAATATGTTCCTCTTCTATACAACTTACATGACATACTTATTGCAGTCTTCCTTGGCCAAAGAAAACTGTGGGTTCACTACGTGGGTCGATCCTCGACCTATTTATCTACATGCGGAGTACATCTACTACCTGCAGGACTGTATCTTCGATCTAAAAAGGGAAGTTAGCAGTGGTTACAAGGACGACGAATAGGATGACAACAACAATGGTGCCAGTTCATAGGAGGCACTATGCAATAATCCATATTGCACCTGCCCTAATCACATGAACAAGGGTCCTCCGCCGCCGCCCCCACCACCACCACCACCAACAATGGGAGAATACTGTGGAGAAGGTGCAACATATTTTGCTATGTGGCCACACTACTAGGATAAAAAAATCTTTTTAACGGGCCACATCCATGTATTTGTTTTTTGGTTTAATCACCTAAGGCATGTTAGGGTTAGTCGAAGGAAATATGTACCCTTGTTTGGCACATGTTCTCACATGCCATTTCATGTGCTTGTTGTTTGCTTCAATTACCTAAGGCATGTTAGGTTTCGTCCAGGACCTCTGTACCCTAGTTTGGTACATGTTATCACATGCCATTTCATGTGTTGTGTGCGTTGAATTAGGTAATCCACTACTTCGTTACGTTTTATTTGCACTACGTGAGCTCGTTTCACTACCTATGCAATATTAAACTCAATATTATGACAACAAATAATGAAAACCAATAACACTATGAAAGGTCTAATAATAGAGCACATTAATCAACATAACAACATTTGAAGTACATGACAACAAACTAAATAACGCAGAACATGCCTTAGGTACGTCCATACTTAAAGTGCATTACATGACAACACAATAAAAAGTCCAAGATTAGACAACATTGTTCATAAATAAACCATAGAACTAGCAAGTCATGAAGACTACTGAGTGCAACGAGGCCACTTTCCCTTCCTCTGGGCATTGGGATTCTCCTCCATCGTTGTCTTTGCTCGGAGCGCACACTCAAGCTTCCTCTCCCTCTACTCCCTGTACGAAGCAACACGCCTCCTTTCCTCCTCTTCCTTATGCTCCTTTTCTAGAGCCTCCTCTCTGCGTCTCTTCTCCATCATCTTCTTGACCTCTGCCTCCCACCATAACAGTTTCTGCATCCACTCCTTGTCTTCTGACTTGATCTCAGTGTCGATCCACTACTCAAAATCATAGAGCGGTGGAGGGGTCTGCAACAAATATAATTGTTACAAAACAAATAAATCATGCAAGACTTCATTTGACACAAAATAAATATTAAACAACATCAATTTCTCACCATCTTGTTAATGCGGCGCTGACGAAGTGAAGGCTCAAATGCAAAATTGGCACACATCCAATACCTCTGCCTATACGTGTCCTCTTCATCAGACTTGGCTACCTTGCAAGGATCGCCGCAAAAGCACATGGGCACTGTAACACCACTAGGCAGAGGCAACGGGTCGAAGGCATTTCCGGTCATCCGGTCATAACTACAATTGAACCAAATTTGTTCTAAGAACCGAAAGCAATAAACATTAAACCCTAAACCTAGGGTTTTTTCTATTTGTTGCACATAAATGAAAACATAATATAACACGATGATAAGAGATTACTTTGGCTTACTAGCTTTACCACGCCTTGGCATCCTACCGTTACATAATACAAAAAATAAAAAATCACTTCAAACATTAGGTAATAACATATCTAGGGTTACAAAATAGACGTAATATATACCAAATCAATGCGTAAAAAATGATAAGGGGAGAGAGGATACCTTGCTTGCGAAGATGTATGGATCAAATCCAAGTATCCAAGGTCAAATTTATCGATTCAAGAGATTGGGCGGGTTAGGGAGAGGAAGAAACTGAGATGGAGGAGGAAGAAATGAAAGCAGCCTCGGCAAGGGAATCTTGGCCGTGGGTTTTGAATCCATGCTCAGCGCCAAAATACATGGCTCCGAGGTCGGCGCCAAGATCTGTGGCGCCGACCTCGGAGACATGTATTCTGGCGCCGAGGTACCAGCCACGTCAACGCCACCTAGGATGCCCTATTGTGCACGGCCAGGCACCTCAAAGCCAAGATATGTGGTGCCAAGACGTGTTACCTCGGTGCCATGAGTGCTGACGCCGACCCCAGGGTCCAAAGATGAGTTTACGTCTCCCAGGGGCCAAACGTAAATTTTCTTCAAAAAAGAGCCAAATTGTAAAAAAATGGGCTCCCACCTCCGTGCCCATAGTGTGGCAGAACTGCCCAAAATAACTCGCTTATGGAGACGCTCGTCTTCCACCAGACACTAAGCACCCCGAGAGCGAGTTACAGCGGCGGTATCCTTCGGGCACACCCCAAGGGAGAACCCGAAAGTTCAACATTTTTCCCAAGGATCTAATAATGAGAATGAGTTACAATACAGGTCCATTTCATACATCAGAGTTTCTTAGAAATTACATTATTACATTACCAAATGTCAGAGTGCGGAATGATAAACAGTGGAATTTAAATTAAACATCTAGCGATAAGAATGAGGATCCATCTGAGCCCACCAGATGAATCCTCCACACAAAGGTACTTCTCATGCATCACCTGCAACATGGGTAAATAAACCCTAAGTACACAATGTACTCACAAGACTTATCCGACTAGTGGGAATAGTTTCCCAACTCCAAGGAATATGAGAAGCTTTATGGTTTGCTGGTTTTCTTTTAGCGGAAAGCAATACTAATAGTAAGTCCTTAGTTATGTTATTATTATCAGCCGTATTAAGTTGTTATCTATCCAGTCTATATAAGCACATGTTCTACTTCTAAGCAAGAGTTGAGCAATCAGTTCTATTTCATTATCTTCCATGTTTAAGTTCTTACTATGGTGCTAGACCAAAAAACAAGCCATACCGGATTGCCCGTGATTCGCGAATCAATGCCCCCAGCTGGGTACCCCAAAAACACACGCCCTGTTTGTACCCTAGGCACAAGAAGGACTAACCCATCACCCTCCAGTCCTGGGTGTCTAGGTCCCCGTCAAAACTTGGACTCCAAGCCCCTACTCCTGAGTCCCAGACTCAGTGCGGTGTAAGGACCTCCACCATCCCCGCCTCCAATCAGTCGGTCCGG